GCTCGCTGACAATCCGGCTGAACCCCTTGTGCTCTCTCTGTCTCGCGGAAGGAGATGATTTCTATCTCCAGGAAGTGTTTCAAAAGCACCAAATCTTTATGCTTACATTAAAAAAATAAATAAAATGGGAAACAGCATTAAACAAAACCACACAAATTAGAAATGTGGTCTCTATATATTGACATACAGCTTGCAATTCTGCAGGTGTATTATTCTTTTAAGGCCTGAAATGGAAAATACTGAGGAACCTTCCTTTATTGCACTCGGGTTCATGTATATCCTGGAGTTACAGCTTTTGCAGTCTGACATAATATTGCATAGAACAAGAACAACAACTACAATTTTCTTGTAGTGTGAATTCACAAATGGCAGCAGTTCAGTGAGTTTCATTTGTAGATGTTAGCACTTCTGAGAACTTTCCATATTGAAAATTCTTTAATTTAGAATGTTAGCAAATACTATTTATTAAAACCATATATTTTATGAAAAATCATATAATGAGTTCTAGATTTTTGCAGATGTGACTTATTACTATAGAGACATTAAAACTGAATAGTCTATGAACTGTAATTTAACATCACTTTCTTTTTTGCCATACTTTATCAATCAAAGTATCTTCAGAATCTGGTTTTATCATTATTTGGTCATAACAGTAGTCTTTGTACTTGATAATTTTCAGTGTTTAACACAGTTCATATCATGTAATTCCAAAGTATTTTTATTGGTATTTTAAAAAATAATTATTCTTTTATTTTTATTTTTTTTTGTTTTTAACAATCTAAAATTTATATACTCCAATGCACTTTTGGGAAATAGGCCAACAACTGTGGATTCTAGTTTCAGGATATCTGCTCACAGTTGATACACACTCTCAAGTGTATGTTGTAGAGGATACAATCCTGTTTTCAGAATTCTTGGTAGGACAGCATTATCCAGATAACACAGAGATGTCAAAACATGGTTGGTAGGTATAAACATAAAGTGCAAGGGCCCGTATTTCAAAATAATCAAGTATTCAAAATAATCAAGTACTCAAAATATAACTAGTTTTTCAAATCAGTTCAGTATTATTTAAAACTAAGCTATTAGTATCAAATTAAGATATAAGTAGTTTTTAAGAGATTGCTGTTATGCAGATATTGTACTTGCTTAGATGGAAAAATTTTCAGAGTGAGAGCAAGTCACTCACACACAATGGTTTCATGTGCCCATTTTGTCAGCGTTGCTCATACCAGAACCACTGTGCTGTCCCCTTCCCATCCCATGTTCCTTATCGCTGAGCTCGTTTTACTGCCGGCAACTAGTGTGGCTTGTGGTCACAAGGACTGCAGTTCAGTAGCTTAAAATACAGTGAGCTCTTGCAGACTGCACATAGGCACAGAGAATTTGAAAACTGGCTCTGGCACAAAATTCCTCTTTAGGCACAGTTGGGACATTTAATCTCTTGCCTCACAATTGCTGTCTATAAAATGAAGTAATACCTGCGTGCCTGTCTCATAGGAGCACAGATGATTGACTCATGCTTGTGAAGTGATACTGGAATGCACTGAATGCACATTGGAGCCATCTGATCTCCAGATATATGGAGAATTGTTCTTGGAAGAAGCTAAAAACATTAGCAGCTGTGTTCGTGTGTGTAGTGTAGTACCATAATCTTTTAACTGAAGTGAGGGATGCCGTATGCCAGGATGCTGCTGGAACCTTTCGGCATCCTCCCACTGACTTCGAGAAACTTGAGCTATTCCAGAGGCAAATATATTGCTTTTCAGAAATATCTTTGTAGTCCCCAGTGGAAAGCCTTGCATGCTTCTGCATGCTCTCCAGTCCTTAACCCTGGCTGCCTTTGGGTTTTCTTGGCCTCCTTTCAACTGGCCAAACCTGCCAGCATGGCAGCAACAACAGCTGGCATCAATTCCTTGAAGTCATTGCCATTCACTGGTAACCTTAAAAACAGGCAAATCACACCTTTTGTCAAATTATGCACATTTTGTGGTGGGATTTTAACAGGAGTACAAGGATGCTGCTGTCTTGTATAAAATGAGATGAATTTTATGCCCCTGTTATTTTAGGTTCATTGAAACCATTATTACTGTATGATTTTTTTGTGTGCAGCATATTTTGATGTATGTACTGTGCTTCTTTCAGAAGATAAAGGGAAAGCAAAACCCAATAATGCAAGCCAGCAGTCCAGTACAGAAGTGGGTCCTTTTCCTCCCAAAACTGGAGTGGCAGCAGTGGCACCTGTAACACCTGCCTCATCCTCCAAGAGCACGAATGGAGCTCCTAATGCAGTTTCTGAGTCAGAAGAAGAAAAAGCCAAAAAACTACTTTACTGTTCATTATGCAAAGTGGCTGTGAATTCCCTGTCGCAACTAGAAGCCCACAATACAGGTGAGTATGCATGGATTGCAAGTCAGTTGTGTGTTATTGTTTTTTAAATTCCATGTAACAAGCTGTGGTAGTCACACTTCCCTGAAGAGTCTTTTAGTTAAAACTTAAAATGGCAAGTTACAAAAACTTTTCTTTTAATGACAGTTTCATGTGTGGTGTTTGACATTTTGTTAAAGCTATCTCTGAAGTTTTTTTGAACTGTCCTTCATATATTCTATAAGCTTTTAATTGACAAAGTCCCTACAGTTCATGTTACCTAATCAAATTCCATCATATGTCCATAGTGAGGATCATAGTATGATCACAGAGCTTTCTGTAACACTAAGGTTTCTAAAATGTCAGTTGTCTTTTTGCATTTCGTCTCACTATCTCTGGTGTCTACTATTTTTTGCTGGTGCAATTTATAGTCGGCTCCTTAGATTTCCTTTTCATTATTGCAGATTAGATATGCTCCTTTTAAAAGGCCTCAAGCAGCAAACCTTAATATGCTCTGTGATGTGCTGGTGATGTAAAGCTTGTTAACAGACCATTGAGGCTGCTTTTACAGCTCTAATCCATTCTTGAAATGGCCAAAACAGCCATTTCTTCCAAATCTAAGGATACTTGCTGACGTATTACTGTTCCTAGGCAGATTTTGAGTGATTACTGTGGTTCTCTCCCACTTGTGACCAATGCTGGTTTTTGTGATTCACCACCTATATGGATTTTGGCAGAAGAATAAGCAACAGACACCTTGGCCATGCAGCCACACACTGTCCCAAAACAGGCAGTGATCCAGCGTGCCTGTCATTCTCTTTTTGTACAAACCCTTCTTCCATTGCCAAGCCTTCCCTCTTCCCTTTAGATTGAGGAAGTGGGAACTACACTGACCAAACCCAGAGATGTCATTAGTCCCCATCTGTGGTGGCTTTAACCATTCTGTCTTGAAGATAAGTGTGTTACAAGAAGTCCCAAGGATGACGGACGTGGCTGTATGTTGCTGATCACTACCTCACCCGTGCATCCTTGCCCATTAGGCTCCAAGCACAAGACCATGGTCGAGGCTCGGAATGGTGCTGGTCCCATCAAGTCTTACCCTAGACCTGGATCCCGGCTGAAGGTGCAGAATGGCAGTAAAGGCTCAGGACTGCAGAACAAGACGTTTCATTGTGAAATCTGTGATGTCCATGTTAATTCAGAAATTCAGCTTAAACAGGTAGCTTGCATGTATCCGGGGCTCCTTTGTTGATTTTAGTTGCACTGCAATATTGTAGGGAGAGTGTAGGTCTGTGTAAAGATGGTTTGGCAAAAAGTGAACTTTTTGTTTCCTTTCTGTCATCCCATGCCTATTTCTAACAGTTCGTCATAGGTCAAGTTCACCTAATTTTTTCATCTGGGAAAAAACAGACTTGAGAGTCATAAAGAAGAGGTGCACAAGGTGTCAGTATCAGTTAAAAACATACCAGATCTATTTTAAAAGTTTGCTGTGGCTCAAGAGAAAAAATTGAACTTTGGTCTCCCAAATGAAGGAAATTCTGAGTTGAGGCTCCCAGAAGTGGTGCTGTTTCAGTCTGCTGCGGTGGTTTTTAATACTGTGTGAGAAGGAGAATGTGACTTGAATCTATTGATGTAGGACAATCAGCAGGAGGGTAATGCTGTAGATCTGTCTGAATTGTGTAGACTAATATTATCATTAGCAGCGGAGCTGTATGAACATGCAGCTCTGTTTTGTCCAAGGCAATTAGCCTTGGCTTCAGAGCTGTGCCAGTACAAATAGGTTGTTTCTGATACCCAGACGGGAATCTCTAACTGGATGGTGCGGTGCTGTGTGGATGTGTCCTCTCATTCCCTGTTACTTCAGCTATCTCTAAGATAGTATTAAATTGCACGGTGTAGACATATCCCTGGGTACTGTTTCTTCCTTCAGCTAATATTGAATTATTTATACAGCTGAACAGCATCAGCGAGACTGAAATTTACCTCCTGCTTCTGAATATCCCTATGACCTAATGGTTACAGCTCTGCCTGGTTCAAAGCTCCTCAAGTGGAAAAAGGAAATACTAACCAAAATATCAATAATTTGCAGAGCCTGTCTTGGGTCACAGAATTCACTGTAGTTGATTAGTTTCTGATACTCTATTTGATGTGCTCCAAATTGTTATGTTTAATTTAGCAAAACTCATCTTTGCTCTCTGTAAAGAACCTACTTTATCTTACAAACAGGGGCTTAGGCGTATCGTGCTGATAAATCAATTTCAAACTCAAAACTGAGAAATGTTTAAGCAGCTAATTAAATGTGCGGATGTTTATTTCAGCACATTTCCAGCCGAAGGCATAAGGACAGAGTTGCAGGAAAACCTATGAAACCCAAATATAGTCCTTACAACAAACTGCAGCGAAGCCCAAGTATTTTAGCAGTAAGTATTTTTATTTCTTGTCAGTGTCTATGTGAATTTGTGACCCTGGGGATCTCCCACTGCACAGAGACAGGAACGCGACAGACCTGATGCTTCGGCAGCATTTCTGCCCCGCAGGCTGAGCCTGCGTGGGGACCTGATTGGAGGATAGCTATTTGTTCTGCCTGCCCAGTCCAAGGCATGCAGGCAGCGCTGCTAGCACTACTGCTAGGAGGAAGGGAATAATCAGTGGAATGGGGAATGAACCGTGTGCCCCCGTGGAAAGGTATCAGCTTTACTCCTTGAAGGCTGCAGCACATATGCTGGGCACCTGAGATAACTCAGTCATGATGCATGCAGTCAGGGAAAAGAACTAAAGATACAAAAACACTCTACAAACAGCAGAGCAGAGTGCTGTGTGGATGATTATGGTGGTGCAAAAGAATTACCTGATGTTGAGGAGAATCATTTGCCTATCTGTATGCTGGGGCTGTCACAGGCCATCAAAACAGTTCTTGTACCTTGTACCCCCAGCTCTTCCCCTTTCACACCCACCTGCATTTCCAGAAATTCCCCAAGCTGGTTCTGCTGTTCAGTTGCTGCTGGAGTTCCGGCTGGCTCGAGCACAGCACAGGTTGCATGTTTATTTGCTCATGACTCAGCCTGTATTTTATTCATTAGGGAAAAGTGCATGCCACCTATGGTACAAAAAACATTTATAGGTTAGAAAGAGAGAGATGTAGATATGTGTGCTTAAGAACACATGTGAGGAGCCCTTGAAAGCTGAAATATGAGTATCATTTTGTAATTGCACAGAGCCAAATGAAAACGCTGCAGGCGTTCTCCAAGACTTCCCATTCGATAGATTCTGCACACACTCATCTTCTTCCCTTGTGTAATACATCATTTTGTAATCTATTGCATAAGGAGAGACCTCCACTAATAAAGGAAGGATGTGAGTATCTTTGCCCTCATAAATGTGTGATTGTGGTGCAAACCATCTTCAGTGTATATATTTCCGGTTAGCTTTTTCACCACAAGCACCAGCAATGATTGTAGATCATAAAATGAGTAATAATTCTTTCAGAAAGAGTTCTTTATGGTATCGATCTTAAGAACTAGTTCAGTTTTGAAAAGAGCAGCTCTGCATTGACAGGTAAAAAACTGTCTGGACTAATACTGATTTTCCAGCTTGACCACTCTGCTTTTCTACAATTCATTTTTACAAGTGGAAAATCTGACTTTTTACATGGGAGTCTTTATCATGGGGTTTTAAAAATGTTTCTTGCACAGTTACGATTTATATAATGGTTTTTGCTTGCAAATTATACTTCCTTCTAAATATCAGCGTGGCTTCCCCTACACCCGACAGATCTATGTACCTTTAAATATATTATTCGGCTGCTTCTTCTTCCTTGGGAGGAAGAAGACAATGTTGGTAGAATTTCTAAGCAGTTGACACGAGGCTTCTGTGAGAAACCACACCAAGCCCTTTGTCAGGGTTCATTTCTTCCTTCACGTAGAAGCAGAGACGGGGATACCTGTATTTACATTGCTCTTCTGTGTTTTATTGCAGGCAAAACTTGCGTTCCAGAAGGACATGATTAAGCCGCTGGCACCTGCTTTCCTGTCATCTCCTCTTGCTGCGGCTGCAGCTGTGTCCTCAGCCCTGTCCCTTCCTCCACGTCCCGCTGCCTCCTTGTTCCAGGCACCTGCAATTCCACCAGCTCTCCTCAGGCCGAGCCACGGGCCCATCCGCGCAACACCTGCCTCCATACTCTTTGCACCATACTGATTTATTGGTGGGAAAAAGAGAGAACTACGGCCAGTAGAGAGGGGAAAAACAAAAGCAAGAAGGGGTTGAGATGTTTTAAAACGTCTTTCTCTTTTCAAATGCCATCCAGTGTGACACCTCAACCAGCCGCACTATGAAATTCATCATCCATAGTACTGCATTTTGGAGTCTAGACAGCTCTCTGTCTCTTTTTTGAATCCCAATAGAGTGGTTTACTAAAACCTTCATTGCTCGTAAAATTAATACCATTAAAGGTTCATGCACCTATTAATTTTTTATTTTATTTTACTTTTTGCAAAGTGTGTGATGCACCTTGGAATCAAGGAACGTAAAATATTTTCCTGACAGACTTGAAAACTAGGGTCTTCCTTGCTCAAACTTATGTAAATACTTCTCTGAAAACCAATGGGGTACAATCTAATGTGGAAAAAAAGGTAGATGAACCAAATGCTTGATTGTGGATGACATCTCAAAAATGAATTGTGTCCTTTTTTTTTTTTCTTCAATGTGCACTTGTTGACAGGGATTGTGTACTGTCCTAGGCCCCAGTACTGGTGTATCTTGTGTAGTACTAAAGATGTATCACATGTCTGATTTTAATATTTTTAGTTTCTGTGCAAATGTTTGATTTGAAAGCAATGCAGCGCTGAAGCTTTTAATTATTTCTTTTGTGTCACACTTTATTTAGAGAAATTAAAAATAGAAAGCCATATAACATATAGTTAAGATTACTACTTGTTTGCTACTTTTATTTAACTTATTTTTGTTGTTTCTTCATTAGTGTTGCTAAGCAATGTTTAAAGAGAAAAAACAAAAAGCTTTTCAATTGCACATTACCAGAGCTCACATGCATTGTTCAAAAAGACAACGGAACCATGTATTTGTACGTAAATATCCTTTTTCTTCATTTCTAACTAGTTTCGTTTGTAATGATGCTGCATAACATTGTGGCTCCCTAATGCAATAATGTACAGAACATAAAATATTTATAATTGACCGTATTCTCTGTTTACTGAATATATTGCAGTAATGCCCACCTATCTTCTTATGTCCCCAATCCTTTTATAAAGGTGATATCAATATGCAGTGCTCAGACTGAAATCGTGTGATAATGGGGACAACAGGTGGAAGAAAGGAAAAAAAAATAGAATTAACTTTTAGAGCATCTTTATCTGCAATCCATAATAGTAAAATGTCTGTGTATTTTTTTAAATGTACCTTTTCAATAAAATAATAAGAAAAATCTACCTGCTTCTTGTATTTATTAATTGGTTGCTCCTTGTGTTTAATAATAGATAACAAAAAGAAAAGCCTGGAACATCCAAATTTAGCTAAAGGAGTCTTCAAGAGCAAACAAAGCATTAAAGTTGAAATTAAGTATAATTACACAACCTTTGTTTACTTTCCCTGTGTTTTAATGTCTTTTCCTTCTTACATCCTGTTACAGCGTTTATTGGGGTATTTTTGCAGTCAGGCTGTAAACATTCACTGCATTGGAGATTCAGAACAAGAAGAAACAGAGCCAGGTGGGTGATTATGGTTTTATTGTTACGCCACCAAAATGCTACAAAATGGTTATGCCATCTCTAATGGAGATTAAGGATTATCTTGAAAACCAGCGTGGGCATACCTGAGGCTGGAACACAGGTCGCGTTGAGCCAGGACTTGCTCTGAAGCATGGGCAAAGCAAGCAGCTGCTCGACACAGCAGGCTTTTGAAGGCAGGTCTTTGGGGAAGCTTTGACGTGATCTTTCTCCCTGCTGAAAAACTTGATCTGTTCTGTAAAAATCTTCTCTTTGTTAAAGTGAAAAAGTAAAGTGAAAAGTAAAGAGTATGAGGGTAAAAAGACTCAGCTGTAAGGCTGTTAGGGGTAATACAAAGCCAACAGGGCCATTACAAATCCACACAGGCCTTAATGTTCTTCTTTCAAGTGACCACCGAGGCATCCTCAAGTATTTATTGGAATGACCAGCATTTCAGGTAAAACTGCGTATCTATTTTTGAGTATCTAGAACTCTTAGATATTAAAATGGTTTTGGATTAGAGTAATACTGAGTTACAAATGTTTCTGTTTGATTTAGTTTCCTGTTTGTATTGATAGAGTGCTGTGCTAGATGCTGAAAGTGAGGAGCCAACTCCTCCCACGCACCGGAGGTAGAGGAGGCCAAATGGAACATGTCACCTTTGAAAGACTGCAGAGGTCCCGAGTGACTGGAAAAAGGACTATTTTAGGCCTGTCTTCCAAAATGACAAGAAGGAGGATCTTGGCACAAGAAAACAAGTAGGTGACTGGGACTGGCCAGTGTGGGTTTACAGGAGGCAAAATCATACCTGAGTAGCCTGAGTGCTTTCTGCTATCTGTGCAGACAAGGGAGAGCAGAGGGTGCCATTACATTGACTTCCGTAAGGCTTTTCATACCGTTTCACATAGAATCCTGCCAGACAAATGAGGATGGGTGCTTGGATGGGGTGGGTGGCTACAAGGTGGCTGTAGGAGTGGCTGGGCCACCAACCTCCAAGTGTTGCATGACCCTTTGCGAGTCTACATCGGTTGAATGCTGTTCCCTGGGTTGGTGACACGTAATGCACTTGCTGGTGGCCTGTACGGTGGGATGGAGAGTAAGGCTGCCATCCAGAATGACCCGAGCAAGCTGGAGACGTGGTTTGATGGGAACCTCATGGGTTTCAGGCAGAGGCCAAGTCCTGTGTCTGGGAAGGAGCCACCCCGTGTGCCATCGCAGAGTGGGCCTGCTCACCAGAAAGCAGCTTTGCAGGAGAGGACCCAGGTGGGGAGGGGGGCCAGACACCTGAATTTCATGATGGGGAAGTTGAACACAAGTCTGCAGTGCGCCCGTGTGGCAGCAGAGCTTAACTGAACGCTGCACTGCCTTCGCAAAGCCGTGGCCAGCAGGGTATAAGGGAGGTGGTAAAACTCCTCTGTTTCGCACTTTTGAATCTGCAGCTGGAGTAACGTGTCCAGTCTGGGGCCTCTGTTGTGAGAGAGGTTTTGATAAATTGGAACAAATCTGGGAGAAAGCCACAAAGGCGGTTAGGAAACGAGCATGTTGAGTTCAAGGAAGTGAGATGGGTCTGTTAAGCCTGGAGGAGGCTGTGGCAGTTCTGGCCACTGTCCTCAAATGTCTAACAGGTGGTCACAGGAAAAGATTCAAACATTTTTCAGAGAAGGCCCATGAGAGGAGACAGCCAGAATCTGTGGGAAGGAACATTCTGACTGCACGTAAGGGAAAGAAAGGTTTGCAGTAAAAGCAGATAAGCCTTGGAGCAGGTTGCCCAGGAAGGTTATTGCAATATCGACTCTTGGGAAAGCTCTTGGAGGCAGCCAGATGAGCAACCTGATCCAGCTCTGAATGCTTTGAGCAGGAGACTGAACTAGGTGACCTCCAGAAGACCTGCCATCCTAAGTGAGACAATAATTCTAAAAGATAAAAAGGTCTTCTACTGAAAAATGAAAAGTAATCATTGTGTTACAGGACAATTACAAGCTGAAGGAAACTCTGCAGCACTAAATACTGACAGATCATTCAAAATATGCTGGGCTCCTGCTGTGCAAGCCTGGGAAAATGAAGACAAGCATCTTACTTGTAATAGGCTGAAGAAGAGGCTGAAAGGAGAGTATGCCTGGAAGTGTGAATCAAAGTGACAATGAGGGGAAAATATTTGTACTACAGTATTGTGATTGGATTTTGGAGTGGTGGAGGTTGTATTTTTCTGGCCAGAAAAGGGACTTTGCAGTAACTGCATGTGCTGTGTTTCAGGCCTTGATGAGTTTTAACAAAACAAATATGTTTGCACAAAGTTATTTGTTTAGATTATATGAAAGTGCTTGATGAGTCCAGCGGCTAAAAAACTGCTTGCCAGTCTTGCTCACATTCCGTGTTCACAGCCAAGCAACCTCCATGAGTGCATCAAGGACCACAGCCTCGTCTGCGTTTGTCTCTGAGACCATTTGTTTCAGAGCAACAGGCTGGCTGGGTTTTTAACTGCATATTCTGCACTCTATCAGACTTTAAAAGGAAAGATCAATGCAAAATTTGTTCGTATTTTTTAGACGAGTATTATGGACTGTTTAAAGTGTTGGTGATATAGTAAAGCAGCAGCAAGAGGTTGGATTATAATAGGAAAAAAATACTCTGCAACAGACAGTAAGGCTACTGCTGGCTGAACCTGATGAACATCTGGTTTACGCAGGTAAGACGCCGACTGAAGAAGGGGCACCTGCTATCTCAGAAGCAGGGTTAGGTAAAGTGGAGACAGATCTCTGTGTCTGGGGAACTGGCCAGCAAAATCCACAGAACATAGATCTGCTGTCAGACATAAATCCTCTACACAAGATTTTTCTCTCTGAGAACAAATTTAGATCTATACAACCATACAAACAAAAATTACTCCTTTCTCCTGCCTGAAATCCAGATAGGCAGGATATTGTAATTTTCATTGTGCAAGCAAAATGAAAATGGAAGAAAACCGAAAGGTGGGAGTTCAAAACTTGGAAACAGATTTTCACTGACTGTTAAAAGCTATTTGAGTGCCTCCACTATTTGTCTCAGTTCCATGAAGTGTAAAGAGAAAGGGGTGTTAAGGACTTAAGAACTGAAGAAAATAGTAGTAAAACATATTCCATCAGCATAAAACATTTTAATGTGTTGCATAAAGGGACAGAATCAGGTCAGTCCCTTTACAGGAGACTGGGTAGGTGTAGGCATCTGCAGTACTTTTGTTAGTTCAGGAACCACTTAGAAACAGCAGACAGCTTCCTCTTGCACTGAAGACGTAAGGTGCTCTGGAGAAAAGGGATGACTTCCCAATCAGATGGACTAAGGAGAGGAACAGGCATAGCCAGATTTGCAACCACAAAGTACAGGCAGCACAAGTGCCAGGATGGCCATGTCTCGCTCCATAAAGCAGGTTGCATCCAGAAAGGGACCAACATGTTTAGGTCAGTTTTACATGAAAGCATTTGACTGTAAGGGGTGCTGAAA